GCCGTTCGGTTCACGCAGGGAGAGCGCTTAAGCTTCGTCGTTAGCATAATACGGGCTGAGAGGAGCTGCTTCAGCTCTTGAAAACATCCACTCAATTAAAACTCTCAGCGATGGCCCCAAAACGCCTCTGGATGCTGAAAGCGGGGTTTGTTCGGATGGAGGTGTCAGCGAGAGCATCTGCTGATCGCAGGAGTCACTCATTAAGCCTTCATCTGAGTTTGATTTAATAACATGCTGACTTAACTGGACTCAACTCCTCGAGGAAGGTGGAGACGTTACGATCAGCGTCTTACAAACTTTTGATAAATAGATGTATTTGATTGTGAGATTATCAGCATCAAAGACTTAGCTTTGCTTTGCGTCAATTAAAAAAATTTAAAGCATCTTAGTCAATGCATAAAATTCAAATATCATTAGCAAATTTTGTGCACACTAGTTGAAACAGAATGGTTTAGGAGTCTGGGAAAACATCTCGGCACGGTTACTACCAGTCTGCTGTCAATATTACTACTGTATATATATATATATATATATATACTGTATAAATAATAAAAAATACAGTAAAATTATTTACAATAAAATAAATAAAAATAAATAATAATTATTATAAATAATAACAAAACAAACAAACAAACAAACAAATAAATAAATAAATACATGTTTTGATTAACTGATTACCATGCAATTAAACACATGTAATGATAAATAATATAAATAATGAATATAAAGAGCAAATGTGATGTATGCAAAATTACTGAAATAAAAAAAAAAATCTGAATATTTAAAAAATCATTAGATTTTTGATAAGATCCTGTGTCTGACATATGCAGAAACAAGTTATTAGCTGAATTATATTGTTCCTTTTATAAATGTATGTAATTACATAAGTTTGGGGACTGTTAGATTTTTTAATGGTTTTTGAAAGAAGTCTCTTCTGCTCATCGAGGCTGCATTTATTTGATCATAAATACAGTAACAATTGTGAAATATTATTACAATTTAAAATAGCTGTTTTCTATGTGAATATCTGTTGAAATGTAATTTATTTCTGTGATGCGCAGCTGTATTTTCAGCATCATTACTCCAGTCTTCAGTGTCACATGATCTTCAGAAATCATAATAATATGCTGATTTGCTGCTCAAGAAACATTTCTTATTATTATCAATGTTGAAAACAGTCGTGCTGCACAATATTTTTGTGGAAACTGTGTTACATTTTATTTTTCAGGATTCACAGATGAATAGAAAGTTCAAAAGAACAGCATTTATTTACGACACATTAAACTCATGTAAGATCAGGGACAGTTCCTTTTAAAATGACTCTTTGATGCAACAGCCTTTCATTTCCGCCTCATTGAGGTTCGCTCACTTCCTGTCACATATTACACCGCTTCCTGTCACGTTACACCGCTTCCTGTCACATGTTACACCGCTTCCTGTCACGTTACACCGCTTCCTGTCACATGTTACAGCACTTCCGGTCACATGTTACACCGCTTCCTGTCACATATTACACCGCTTCCTGTCACGTTACACTGCTTCCTGTCACGTTACACTGCTTCCTGTCACATATTACACCGCTTCCTGTCACATGTTACACCGCTTCCTGTCACATATTACAACACTTCCTGTCACATGTTACACCACTTCCTGTCACATGTCACACCACTTCCTGTCACCGCTTCCTGTCACGTTACACCACTTCCTGTCACATGTGACACCGCTTCCTGTCACATGTTACACCACTTCCTGTCACGTTACACAGCTTCCTGTCACGTTACACCGCTTCCTGTCACGTTACACCACTTCCTGTCACATGTGACACCGCTTCCTGTCACATGTTACACCACTTCCTGTCACGTTACACAGCTTCCTGTCACGTTACACCGCTTCCTGTCACGTTACACCACTTCCACCCCGCTTCCTGTCACGTTACACAGCTTCCTGTCACGTTACACCGCTTCCTGTCACGTTACACCACTTCCTGTCACATGTTACACCACTTCCTGTCACGTTACAACACTTCCTGTCACGTTACACCACTTCCTGTCACATGTTACACCGCTCATCATCTCATCTCATCTGTTCCTGCTCGTCAGTCAGCCGCTAACTAGTTCTCCAGCTCAGTTAGTTCCTGCTGTGTTCCTCTGACTGCACTGTCCTCCATCACGAAGCTTTTCATGTCTAAAATTCAGTTGAAATCAAGGAAAAATAATAAAGTCATGTTTTCATTCATTTAAAATGCCACACCAGGACGTCTGTGAACACTTTTATAAGGAAACTTCAAACAAGCAGCATTGTGAAAACTGCAATCATATTTAGGCAAATTACTTGAGACAACCGCAATAATTGTGCCGTTTCAATTTCAATCACATTATGCCAAAGAAAGAATATAAAAAAGCATTGTTATCAAGTCAACAAAGATACTTTGTTGAAAGAAATGAAGGTTTGTGGGTTTAATCAGACTGCATTATATTATATTATATTATATTATATTAATTATTTATATAAATATTAATTTTCACAGCATTAAAGTAAATCACATATTATATACAATTCTAAATAAAAAAATATGATATTTATATATGATTCATTTAATATATAAATATAAATATATATTACATACATGTACATATAAATATACACAGTACACAAACATATATTAAGTAAACGCAAACATTTATTTTGGAAGCAATTAATCAATTTAACAGCCCTAGCTGTACATGAACAAAACAGAATTAAATCATTAATCACTAATATATATATATATATATAAAACATTATTATAAAATACACAAAGATAGTCAAAGGTCTTCCTTCAAACAAAATGAAGGTTTCTGGGTTATATATTATATTATTATATTATAATTTTTACAGCATTAAACTAAATTAAATTAAATCACATGGGCCTATTTTAATATAATTTTTATTATTATTTTATATTACATACAATTTTAAGTAAAAAAAATAATGTATTAGGCATAGACTGTACGTGACATAAACAAAACAGAATTAAATCATTAATCACTAATTATTTGTACAATTAATCTGCAGCACAAAATCATGATTGTGACAGGCCTAATTATAATATTATTATTATTATATGAAATTATTATTATTATTATAGGAGGAGTATATCACTGATGTACTGCTCTGCAAACATCAGCTTAACAAATGCTGCTCTGAAAACGAGTCTTTCCCTCATATCTTGTGTTTCTGACACGTTTTGTGGCTGTTCACCCGTTCACTACTGATGCTGAGAGACGAACGCTTCTAATCATCGCTTTAATCACCATCCAAACCCATCCTCAAGAGCAAATTACAGCCTAATGTTAGCACTCTACTTTGACACAATCAGCTTGTAACACTCCAAAGAGAAAGGAAAACTTGAAATCGCATAATATGACCCCTTTAATTGATACGTGTAAGACTCAACACAAGCTCCCAGACTGGCTGGAAATGAGAGTCACGAAGCATATGCTGCTTCCAGCCTGGGATTTCTGCAGAGAACTAAATGGATTCAGCGTCGCCTTCTAAAAGCACAAATGAGATCGCTTCTGTATCTCAACCACTTCTGCAGGACAGCAATCAGATCAAATGGACAGCAAGTCTCACAAATGTTTTCAAACTATACTCATATTTGCCGGCTACAGTCAAACATCAGAGATCTCAATATGAAGAGAACCTCCACTCATTTTAGGAGAAACACCAAAGATTGAATCTCAAATGACACATACATTAAGAACTACAATAAAGGAATAGTTCACCCAAAATACAAAAAGTCATCATAGTCATATTATGTGTAAAAAAAAATTTGTGTGTACATTAGATTATAGAAGTGTTAAAAGAAATGCACATTAATAAAAATAATAATAATAATAATATTAATTATTATTATTAGTATTATTATTACATTTTGTGGCAGTGTTGTCTGGCGTTTTTGAAGGTCAGAAGTGTTTGAGTCCTAATTAAATGATTTTGTATATTATTTTTGTATTTATTAAAATAACTGTACAATGATAATAATAATAATAATAATAATAATAATAATAATAATGATAATAACAATAATAATAGTTTTTTTTAATTACATATATCATAATAATTATAATTACTATTATTAATCATTTTTGTGGTGGTGTTGTCTGGCATTTTTGAAGGTCAGAATTTTTTTGAATTATTAAAAGAAATGTACATTATTATTATTATTATTAATAATTTTTGTTCTGGTGTTGTCTGGCATTTTTGAAGGTCAGAAGTGTTTGAGTACTAATTAAATTATTGTGTATAATATATTTTTAGATTTATTAAAAGAAATGCACATTAATAATAATAATAATAATAATAATAATAATAAGTATTTTATTTTATTATTATTATTTTATTTAATAATTTTATAATAATACTTTATAAATTATTTTTTTAATTATTTTTTATAAATTTTTGTGGCGGTGTTATCAGGCATTTTTGAAGGTCTGAAGTGTTTGAGTCCTAATGAAATTATTGTGTATATAATTTTTTAGAATTATTAAAAGAAATGTAGATTATTATATTATATTATAAATTTTCATGGCAGTGTTGTCTGGCGTTTTTGAAGGTCAGAAGTGTTTGAGTCCTAATTTAATTATTGTGAAAAAGCAGAGTTTGAGCATCTCAAATGTCCAGGAAAATAGCTACTTACAGTACTTACAGTACAACAGCAGCGTATACAGGAATACTCTAATGCTCGTACGCATATAAACATCACATTAGGAATATAGCTGCAATACATTTTTCATGATGCATTTGATGTGCCAAGGGTGAGTAAATAATGACAGAAACAGAACTATTGCTTTAAGTGACACATAACTGACAACTCATCGAATCTCTTGCACTATGAAACAGCAATAATATTGTCCTCTGGGCAGAGATGTGAAAATCCCCTGGTTCACATTATCATCACACACCAGCAGTTATGAGCACTGAATGCAGTTAAAATCAATAAAAACACGTCCTCTCACCTCCTCCCATTGATGAATGTAGCGTATGAGCCGCGAGAGCCGCAGCAGTCGCAGCAGACTGAGGATCTTCGTGAAGCGTACGATCCGCAGAGCACGCGCCGTCTTGTAGAAATCCGAATCGATGCGCGTCTCCACAATGAGGAAGATGTAGTCCACGGGGATGGAGGAGATGAAGTCCACCACGAACCACGAGCGCAGATATTTGATCTTGATCTGCTGAGGGTCCAGAATGATCTCCGCGTTGTCCTCCTTTACGATCCCAGTGCGGAAGTTCAGCACCAGGTCCAAGAGGAAGAAAGTGTCGGAAACCACGTTGAAGACGATCCATGGCGGCGTGTGCTCGTCCTTGAAGAAGGTGATGCCCACGGGAATGATGATGAGATTTCCCACCATCAGGAGGAGCATGGTGAGATCCCAGTAAAACCTGGAGGAGAATTACAGCCAGAAGTCAGACTCGGTATCTTTAAAAACCGTCAAATTTAGTGCCAAATAAAAAGTGTTAATGTCTGTTCCACCAACGCCAGGGTGTTGTGGGTGTTTTCTTCACCCAAAAATAAATATTTGCTGAAAATGTGCTCATTCTACATTTTCAGCAAATTTTCATTTTTGGGTGAACTATTCCTTTAACCAACACCAGGGCTCCAGACTAATATTTGAGAGCATTGCAGGAGAGAAACCAGTGCCACTAAGTTCTACAGATGGTGGCGCCAGGAGCAGATGTGTAAAATTACTATTGTTTTGCATTAATAAGTGCAGTTACTAATAATATTACACGTTTATTTCTTGGTAAAGCACTGAGTTGGGAAGCACACAAAATGTACACAGTAACGTGTAAAATCAATTTTTTTTATAGAAAATGAATATATTCTACTCTTATTAAATGTATCACTATTCTTCTATAGTATTATACTGAACTGAACGACAACCTCAGTGATTATGATAGGAACGCACTTTGTGTGATTCAGTCGCAAATTGAAGAAAAGTTAGTTTTTCAAGGCACTTTGTGACACAAAAAAGTGCAAAACTCTGACAAAATTAGATTTCTTGATGATTTGATATTTTAATAGTGATTTTATAATTTCAACATATAAAGCAAAAAGTAGAAATGAATGACTAAAAGCCAATAAGTGCTCCTCTGCTGCCATCTACTGGTTATATTGGTGATTTGATGTATTTTTTAAATTTTACATAAGTGTTTGTTTACCACAAAGTATATTTTGGTCATCCCGTTAAAAATAACATTCAAATTGGATCATTTTTAGAACTTTAAAGTGCTGGAAATAGTTTTGTGGAATGCTTGAAAGTCACTGAAAAGTGCTTGAATTTCTCTCTCAAAGGGTTGTACAAACCCTGAAATGAATAATGTAAGAACATCCGACTATTTCTGCAACAACACTATAGCTATAGTTAGCGTTACTACTTCTGGTTTTGTGCGTCAGCGCTGTTTGATCGGTTTATAACAGAGAATTCTGCGCAGAGTTTGACTGCTTCTCGCTAGATCTCGCAGCCAGTGTTGCCAGATTGGGCGGTTTTGAATTTGAATGTGCGGGTGGACAAAATTTGGGCTGGTTTGGGGTCAGTTTGGAGGTTTTCAAACATCTAAATTGTATAGGCTAATGGGTTAACAAACAAACCCAAGTGTGCATGTAACACACAGCCACTGCAGATTCGGCTGATGCTGATGTTGATGTCGCCTGCCGCACTTTTAGCCGCTGCCAATCACTAGGGATCAGCAGTCACATCACAATGCCATGGTAAGAAGTGGGAGAGTGACTCGACTCTCAAAACGTGAATTATACCTGTGGAGGGAGAGGACACGAAAGCTCTAATATTTTAACTCTGAAATCAGAGCACAATTGAATAATTTAATCAGAATCGAAACTGAATATGGGACTTATTCCATGCAGTCCTGCATCAGGGCATCTTTTAAACTGTCCAGATTGGAATATCCTTGAAAGCTGCTGGACTTGATTAGTTTTGACTGTGCAAAGTTCTGTCTTATGTTCTACAATATGTACTTCACAAAATACGTTCTGTCTGACGTTAGAGTGTGACACAAAGGTTACTGTTGTTGTTAATTTTTTACTGTCGGATTATCATACAGTATGTGTCAATGAATGGCACAGTTTTGACTGTCATGGTGTGAAATACCTGCTAACCACATTGCTTTTTCACTTATATTGGGCACTTTTTGCATTTAAATTGGATTATTCTGATTGTTGACATTAAAAATGATGCATGTGTTTTTTCGAAGGGTATCAGTTAATTTCTTGATTGCAGTATCTGCCTGCATGTTTTAGTCATATTTGGTAATTCTCTATAATGTATTTGCCCTGATTTGATCAGTTTACCTGGGAAATTGATCTATATTTATGTTATTTTATCGTCATTATTTTGTTTTAAGGAGTTAAAATGGGTCCTTATCAACCTTGATTGATATGGCAATATTCTATCACATTTTGGCAGTTAAAGTTTTGGGCGTTGTTTTTTTCTTTTTTTGGATTGGGCAGGTTTTGGTGAGCTTTTGGGCTGAAAATCGTCCATCCAATCTGGCAACACTGCTAAACCTGTTCTGAGCTCGGACCAGTTTGCTTGCGCTCAATTATGGGTCCGCAGCTCAAACTTTTGTTTCGTTTGCTGTTTGATTCTTTTTTTGGATTGGGCAGGTTTTGGTGAGCTTTTGGGCTGAAAATCGTCCATCCAATCTGGCAACACTGCTAAACCTGTTCTGAGCTCGGACCAGTTTGCTTGCGCTCAATTATGGGTCCGCAGCTCAAACTTTTGTTTCGTTTGCTGTTTTTCATATGCAGCAGAAATGGTAGCACTTATGAGTTGGACAACGCAGTGGTCGCACCGCTCACAAAATTTAGTTGCACTGGCAGAAAAAAATGGTCGCAGTCACACCACTAAAAACCTTCAATCAACCAATGGTGTTTTTGACTTCAAACTAGCTCAAAGGCGCATATTTGAAGTGTTTCATAACTAAACTATCAGCAGAAATGTTCACACTGCAGTTTTTTTCTGGACATAAAGTACATAAGCATGTGGTCATTTAATTACAAACATGCATCAAAGCGTATACTGTACGTCTGAAATAAAGCACTGTGGGAAAAAAAGCCTAGATCAGATCAGCTGGCATATCTGGTGACCAGTTAAGAATATTTCATTTCTTGTTACCAGTATACAGTATGCTTTGGATGCTTTCATGCTGGTTTAGCGTTGCTCAATCTGGTTTACGTGCCACAACACTATCTTGACCTGGTTAGTTTTCACTCTGTATATTTGTCTTGTTTTCTAGCACAAATATCTAAACATTCTTAAATCAAGATACATTTATTTGAAATGCACAACGGAAGATAAGAAGACAAGAAGTCTGAAAATTAGGTTTATGCTTAAAACAAGAATAAATATTTGCCAGTGGGGTCAGAAAAATCAAATGAACTCAAAGGGAAAACAAGTTTATGTTTCTGATCCCACTGGCAGATATTTGCTTCACTTCACTTCATTTTAATAAATTACTCATAAAACATGACTTCTAATCTTACGTAATTTTGCATTTTAAATAAATGTATCTTGATTTAAGAATGTTTAGATATTTGTACTAGAAAACGACAAAAATACAAGCACTTTTGCAGTGTTACAGACCAGAATTGCCCATCCAAAATCAGTAAAAGACATTCTTAGAAGCAGATTCAAAAAGTGCATCGTTCATGCTGATATACAAAATCAGCAGCACATAAATTCATATCCAGATATTTCATGAGCTCGCATAAATCACATAAAACTGCACATCATCACAATGCATAATTATTCAGAATGCAAATGCACGCACGCACCTTTGTGACTAAGGAAATTCATTTCGGCAATAAATTCAAATTCTGTTCGCTGAGGATTCAGCTTATGAATCGTAAGCAGGATGCACTTGAGATTTCAGCCATGAATTATGTTCAGAAAGTCATGACACTGAATTCCTCTCCGATCTCCACGGTAAACACTGGAGTTTAATGCATGCAGCGCGACATCTCCCACCTTCAGGAGTGTGTTTAGTTATATATTGCACTCTTGGTCCAGTTGGTAATTGAATCTAGATTGGCTCTGTTGTTGGGTGATATATCCTCGCGGGCTCTATAGATTGCATAGAGAGAGAAGGTCAGTGTTGTGAACGGCTCATCCGGTTCTGGTTGATTTACCAACCCAAGTTTAGGAAGCCCATAAAAATCCATTGTCGGTGTGAAAGCCAATTTAAAGCAGGCCGGGCAAAGTAAACAAAAGCGGTTCGATTTGCTGGTATTTGAAGAGATTTTCCACTGAATTCAAACAGCCGTCGTTCATTATTGTTTATTTATTGTTTCTTTTAACAGGAACATTCAGCTATTTGTGGACGAATCACGGCATCTTGAATAAACACTAATTATAGTGGAAATTACACACACACACACACACACACACAACTGTCTGTGATGCCTGAGCTGTGATGTGGATGGAATACAACACACACACACTCACTCACTCACTCACACACACACACACACACACACACACACACACACACACACTCACACACTCACCTACTCACACATACACAACTGTCTGTGATGCCTGAGCTGTGATGTGGATGGAATACAACACACACACACTCACTCACTCACTCACTCACA